GACCACCGACGCCGCGCATGGAACAGGCCGCACCGGCCGGATCAGATCCGACTGGAGAAAGACCCACCATGCCGCCGCCGCAATTTCAAGGTTTGATCTGATCTGACCCGCCGCCGCCGCGGGCATGCAGCCAGCGTACAATGGCTCGCCCCCACAGCGTCACCGTCCCGATGAGGACACCACCTTTGTGAGCCGTCGTCGCTGCGCAGCCGATCCCGGCGCCCGCCCGACTCCGCCGCCTGGCAAGACTACCCCGCACCGGCCCTCCCGAGATGCGAAGAACAAGGCCCCACCGCCGGCCACCGTGAGGGGCTTTGCCCCGGTGACCCGGCCGGCGGCGCGGGTGGGGAGAAGGTGGTGAGGAAGCGAGGGAAAGGAGATGGGCGACCGCCGCCCGAGTCGCCCACGGGGGGAGGGGGGGGGGAGGCGCGGGGGCCTGGGTCGAGGGGAGTTGGTCTTGCACGGGCATTTGCCCCTCCTGTCAAATTGATTGTGCCAGCTCATGATAATAGGATTGAATTAGCAATGAATTGACCCATTTTTCAAACAGTATTGTAGTCAACATTGTAAGTAATTGTTTGATATAGTTCTGCACTCTGTCAATAAAACTGAAATCCACCTTCTGTTTTTTTCCTTTGCTGTAGCATCAACGTTCTAAATTTTCTACACTATGCTCCATATCAGAGGATATTACTGCACTATTCATAGTTAGTGTTGGCCTTTTTGTTGGTTTTCTACTATATGTAATAGTTATTTCATACCGTCCCTCTTACTGCATTCCTTTATGTTGGCAAAACTCAGGTTGACATTCGGATATTCGTCAACTTAATATTCCTTTATGGTACTCATTTATCTAGGTTTCTTTGGAGCCCCAGCACTAATGGTGCAGAGAATTACTACAACTATTTTTTTCACTCTGACGACTCGCGCTGCTTATGAAGTCTCAGTTGAGCCACACACTTAATCCCTGAAATCAAAACTGGTATGATGGGTTTTCAAACATCAGTTTGAGAGAAATCTGTTTTGCCTTGAGAAAATATTCATCAAGTTCTGTCGTGATTCTTGCTACTGCCGATGGGTGCTCTTCTTGCATACATAATAGGTTAGCTAAGTTTGCGCATCTACTTTCGAGCATAATTAGACTCTTGCTTATACGTCTGTACCCATCTTTTATCCAGGTTTTATTGATGTGTCTATTCTATGATCCTATCAGCAGGACAAAAGTTGTCCCTAGAGCTTCAGCATAAGGACTTGGTTTTCCAGGGAGAAAAGAGGGCAGTACTGTTTTTCTTCAAGTGTTCCAAAACAAGAAGTGAGCATTTCTGTAGTATTTTTGCTTACAATTAATGAGCTACAGTGAAGTCAACATGTGAGGATCGAGCTCCTTTAGTGGTTGGTTTGATGATTATGTGTTATTATGCAAACTTTCTCTGAATTCATAAATGAAATGAAGTGCAATTTAGAAGAAAAAATTTTGTTTTTGTTCTATCCATTCTTTCGTCTAAACGTGCTAAAAAGAAAATGTAGCGAGAAAATAATTATGAGTGGATCAGCTATATATATAACTAAAAGAAATATGCCTAACCATCTACATCCTGCCACTGAAGGGGAGCCTTGGTGCAGTGGTAAAGTTGTTGCATTGTGATCATGAGGTCACGGGTTCAAATCCTGGAAACATCCTCTTGCCGAAATGTAGAAAAAGGTTGCGTACGATAGACCCAAAATGGTCGGAACCTACCCCGGACCCTGCAAACGGGAGCTACATGCACCGGACTGCCCTTTATCTAGGTCCTGGCACTCTAATTCGAGTGATTCAACAATTACACATTGTTTGTACATTCAATTTTTTGCTGATATTTATAATCAGTTCCTTCACAATGTACGGGCGCGGCAAGGCGTCTTCATGTTCTACTACTAGATATATAACACGAGCTCAACACTGGTTTATCCCAGATCCCCTATTATTTTGTTCTTGCTTCAAAAGGATCATCGAATTTTGTGTCCCCAAATCAAAAATAGCCATAGAACATTGTTGACACGCTTTGACATATATTTTTCATACATGCTTGCTGTTTTATTCAAGACATGGTATTCTATCAAATCCTTCCAAAAAACAAAATAGTTTACCACATTACAGAGCAACTACAAAAAACTATTTTACTGACATCTTCACTATAAAATGTTTTCCAGCATCACGGTATAAAGAAAGTGAAACTTTGGTCTGCCAAAGCAGATTCTTATACGAAGCAAATAAATTCGAGGCCAAATCGGCCACTAGAGGCAACTTGTTGGCCTGCATGTGAGTGCCTTCTCCCTATACACCAGCTGACTAACTGAGTTGTTTTTCTGACCCTGGCTGTTGATGTTTAGGTCCTGTTATATATCTAGTATTGCCTTGTTTGACTTTGTGATATGGCTGCATTTGCATATGCATGTAAGTGTCTTTATATCTAGTCTTGTCTCGATTAGCTGCTGCATTTGCATGTGAGTGTCTTCTCCCTATTAACACGACCATAACGGGAACAGACGGGGTCAGAAAAACAATTTAGTTAGCCAGCTATCACATAGGAAGAAAACACTCACGTGTAGGCCAGCCTGCAATTGCCTCCTCATTTACCGTCTTCACCGTGGCTTAGTAAAAATATATACCCTTTTTGTTAGTAATGTGTTTCTTGTTTTATCTTGACCATAGAAACCGAGGTATTGCTTCAATATGGATTTCACTATGTGGTCTATCTTGGGGTGAGTCTGTAAAGTTGTGCTCGATGTTTGGTCTACTGAAAGAGCACATAATTCCAGTTTACCTAGAATACCTTATACCTACGTTTGGAATTTATATTCGTTGGAATATGGTGCATTTATATTGCTGGCTTATTTAGCATATATGCGGTTGGAATAATCCCAAACTCCCTATTATTTGTTCTTTCTCCAAAAGGATCGTCCGAATTTGTGTTACCAAATAAAAATTAGCCAAAGAACTTTGTTGACACGCTTCGGTATATACTTTTCAAACATGCTTCCTGTTTTATTCGAGACTTGATATACTATCAAATACTTGTAAAAACGAAAATGGTCTACCAAATTAAAAAGCAACTACAAAAACTATTTTCGCAATATCTTCACCATGAAAAGGTTTTCCAGCATCAGGGTATAAAGAAAGTGAAACTTTGGGCTGCCGAAGCAGATCCTTGCTAAGCGAATTAATTCGAGGTCAAATCGGCTACTGGTGGCAACTAGTTGGCCTGCATGTGAGTGTCTTCTCCCTATACACCAGCTGACTAACTGAGTTGTTTTTGTGACCCCGGCTGTTGCTATTGAGGTCGTGTTGTCAGCTTTGACTTTTGTGATATAGCTGCATTTGCATGTGCATGTGAGTGTTTTTTCCGCAATATATATCCAGTCTTGTCTCGATGTAGCTGCATTTGCATTTGAGTATCTTTCCCTATTAACACTAACAGCAACAGCCAGTGTCAGAAAAACAATTCGTTTAACCAGCTAGCACATAGGGAGTTGCCTCCGCATTTACCGAGTCTTCACCATGGCTTATAGTTTGCTCCTATAAAACACACACTGCACTGCGTTGTCTTGTCTCGCTCATCTACAAGGCTACAACCCCACCTCCTGCAGGCTGCAGCACAATCGTTCGTCCTCCAAAGCTAGAGCCACCTGTGGGGGCGCGAGCTTGTTTTCTTCTCATTCTGCGGGCGGTACGTAACTAGAAGCTTTAACTGTGCATTCTGTCTGTCAAAAATCAGAAACAAGTGCTTAATTAGCTAACCATTGGTGTGTGCCCGTTTCAGGTTTAAGCGGAGCTAGCCTAGCTCCAGGGGGTCACATACGTCTCCGCTTGGTCGCAAACCTAGCTGTTAGCTGAAGGTAAATTCATTTAGGATCTTCTATATAAGGGGTCGTGTATATGATGCAGGGGTGAAAGCCTATTTCAAGATATATACGATGGGAGGTTTCAACCTCCTTTGCCCTGTAGGAGGCGAGTCTCAGCAATAGTCTTGCACCTGCTCGTAGAATATTGATGATTTATATCCATGCGCACCTGGGATCTAATAATTTTAGCCTACCAAAACGTCATATATTTTGGAACGGAGGTAGTACTACAATAAATCAGATGCAGTTGACTATTTCTTTATTTCTCTATTCTCTTCCTGTACCAACTAGTCATCCTAGATCTTTAGACCATGGTTATTGCTTGTTTTCCTCCGGTAGAATTTTTATGATTTACTGTACCTCTTACTATTTCACAAAACCAAAACAAAACTCGTACTACAATTTCTCCACACAAAAAAAGCGTACTAATTATGTACAAATTTAACATTCAGGTTATCAGGTACCTCTCGCGTGTCCAACATGTCTAATATAGACCAAACCTGCTCCAACGATGCATTGGAGTACTTCTCTGAGAACATAGGACTAAGAGGGCAGATCTTGCGAGTCAATGCTCTCATAGTGGTTAACGGCATCTTGATGGGGTTCATGGTCGGGATAGGCGCCTATGGCAATCGCTACCGGCACAACCCACTGATCCGTTTCCTCTTCCTGACTGCCACCACATTGTTCCTGCCCATTGTCTCTTATATTGTCTCTTCCAGTGGTTTAGGCACTGGCCAGTTGACCAGCATACTACGCTATGGTGAGTCCGATCAGCTCATAAAAGGGATATGTCATGCAGAAATAAACATTTTCTTCATCCTTATATGGACGGGTCTTGCTCTGAACATTGGTATCAATACCACTGCACTAGTGGCCGCTGATGCAAGAGAAGGTCAAAGCAGTCCTCCCAATATGACGCTACTTATTCAAGCAGATGGACTTCCTACCTAGGGATATACACCTCCAACGGACCCTATATCTTAAGTTTCGGCAAATTTTTGCTTCTTGGACCATTTGGTTTTATATTTGCCAAATTAGTTCTGAAGTGTTATGCATGGTACATTGCCAGAAAATCATTAGCCTTTGGGCGCAGTCCTCGTCTTATTGTTGGATACATGGAGCAGCTACCGGATGGAATCCATCTTGCTGAGTCAGAAAGTGAGCATATACCTCCTCCACTTATAGTTACTGGAGAGCACACAATGCAGGTACAGGAGAAGCCTTGTGGCTACAAATTAAAGGGGGTATCCAACAGAGTGGCAGGTGATATGTACAGCAAGGGCTTAGTGACCTTTGATAAAATCTGGCAGTTGGATGACACACTTCTGAGGTCAAAGTCACTACAGCTAAAAGAACTATGTTTTTCATTCGCATTATTTAAACTGCTACGCTGTCGAATTGCAAGGTACACAATTACTGAGGTTGGTTTCATCAAGGGCCGTAACTTCTTGCAACAAATGTTGCTTGAGGATAATGATGGTGAAAGAGTACTTGCAGCGATTGCACATGAGCTTTCTTTTCTTCATGACTATTATTATTCATCCCTTCCAATCACATATTCACGAAGTTGGCTGCCAATCGTGAGCATATTCATTTCACTACTAAGCATCTGCTACTGCTTAGTTGTCTTGAGAACTGTGACACTTTCTGCCATTCTCATGGTCAACTTGCCTAGAACAAAAGGGCAGATTAATTGTTATGTGTCCTGTAGCAAGATTTCTTCGGCCACAAGGGGAAGCTCAATATTTTTTGGAAATTTATACTTTGCTAACATGCCATTGCTTATACTTGCTGTATTAGTTATGCTTGGCGAGGTGAGGGACATTGCATCTTACATCTGCTCTAACTGGACTAAAGTAGCCTTGGTATGTCAGTATGTGAAGCATGGTTCTTTGCGAAAATCTGCTACCATGCAGAGATGTGTTAGTTGTGTGCTATGGATCAAAGGCAGGTTCACAAGGAATTCAGAGGACAAAATGAGTCAGTCCTCAATTTTGGTGCTCCATCCAAGGAAAACTCCAATGGCTCTTCTTCGATGTCTTCATCTGGCAGGCCAAAACAAAAAGACACCAAGTGCAGTGAAATCTGCTATTGTCAGCGCACTTAGAAACAGCTACAAGAGAGGACAAATCAGTGGTGATGTGCCGTCTTTCCAAAGGATCCTACATTTGCAAGACGACAACAAGATAATTTGGAAATTTGGGGAAAGAAGTACAGCCCAAATCATGCTTGTGTGTCACATTGCCACAGAAATCCTTGGAGCAAGGTCACGACCGCATCTACCTCCGTCCAACTCTGACCATATGTCCGCTGCCAATCACCTATCGCAGTATTGCACCTACCTGGTGGCACACTGTCCTGAGCTACTTCCTGAAGATGATGAATGGTGCAAGAGCCTGTACAAGGCCATCAAGAAGGATGCCAAGCGTGTACTCAGCGGTAATGATTTTAGGGAGTCAATGACATCTGAGCTGGAGTACCGGAAGAGGTTGATTGAGTTTCTGAGTGCAGAGGGTAACCATGAGGTGCTCAAGGATGGCGCGAGGCTTGCAGAGAAATTGGTTGGGCTAACTGAAGAAGCAGAGGAGATGGCATGGAAGGCCCTCGCTGTCTTTTGGTCAGAGATGATCCTGTATGTTGCTCCATCAGACAACACTGACGGGCATTTGAAGGCGATCGCCCGTGGCGGCGAGCTGATAACTCTCATTTGGGCTTTGGTCACCCACCTCTGCATAGTCGGTAGGTCCGATGACATCATTGATAGTGCTACCATTGATGTTTAAGTGTGCAGTACATGTTCATGACTGCTTAATTTGTTGTATGTTTGGCTATCTTTTGCCCCTCTTTGTATTATTTCTCTTCCTGATTTTGTAACTGTATCTCATCAAGTTGAAGTAGCAGTATCTCAAGCATATCTAGTTATAGGTTTATGTTCACATGCCAAGAAACTGTGGTGCCTTTTGTTCATCGGTACTAATCAATTGATCTTCTTTTGATCACTAAAGTAGTGGCCTATCCATGTATTATATTTGTTCATAGAGGGAGTATAAAATAGAAAAGTGGTACAAGGCTATCTGCATTAAATTTTGAGGAAGAAAACAGAAGAAAATGAAACTAAAGTTAAGCTGTATTCAGAGATTGAAGCGAGTAAGGTGCTTGTTCTTGGCTCTATTTGGAGATTGAAGCGAGTAAGGTGCTTGTTCTTGGCTCTATTCAGAGATTGAAGCGAGTAAGGTGCTTGTTCTTGAACTGGCTTCTTTAACAGAGCTTGTACAACTACTGTCATTGCATCAACTGAGAGATTTCTCTGAATTCCTGTCAAAGAAGCCACACACTCCCAGCAGTGCAATGAAGTCTCGGAGAAAGAAAAATATAATTTGTACGGTATCATGAGCAAATACCAACAATCGGACCGACAAGAGAAGATAACGACATAAGCCAGCCAGCCCCCGCGTCGCCCCCGCCCGGGCGACTCGGGTGGCACCCCAACCCTAGCCGCCGACGGGGCCTAAATTATCTTCCTTCCTTCTTTCCGCTGCCGCCGGAGGACGTCGCCGACCTGCGCCCGGAGGCCAACGGCGGTGGTGGGGGTCCTTCCTCTCTCCCGCGTCTCAGGGGTGGCGGGACCCCAACGCGTGTGGAGGTGCGGCCGATCTAGAAGCGGTGGCGATGGCTTCGACGACGGCGGCGATGGTCGGCCCTGCCTCGGGCCACGGGCGGCTGCGTGCGGCGGCTGGCCTAAATCGGGCGGTGGCGCGATGCGGTCTGCGGCGGCGCGTAGTCGGGCTTTAGATCGGCGACGGCATCAAGGGCGTGGTGGACTGCTTGGCGGCACGTCTGGCAGATCTATTTTGGCTGGTGCAGCCAGTGGTGGTGGTCATCTTCTTCGTCGAAGGTGGCCGGCCAGAGGCTGGGTGGTCAGATCTCGAGATCCATCATCTAGTCCCGCCTACGAGTTGGGGAGACATGGTTGCCGGTGAAAAGCGAGCCCATGACAGGCGATAGCGGCGTTCTACGTCATTACCTTGATGAAGGCATCATCGTGTAACTACTGTCGACCCACTCGTGCTGCTCCGGGGGAAAACCCTAGGATCTGGTGTTCCAGATCGAGCGATGGCGGCACTGCAGTGTTGTTTCTCTCTTGGGAGCATCGTTTGTGGAGCAGTGCTGGAGATGGGCGATGGGCGATACATGCCATCTTTGGTTTGTAGGAATTTTATAGGAATTCTATGGAGATGGGCGACGGGAGCCGCGGATCTGGCCATCCAGATCCGCCCCGGCGTGGCAATCGGTGGCGCGTGGAGGACCGGTGAGGGGCGGCTGGAGGCTCCTTGTCGGACGATGATGGCACCTTCGATGCCGTTGTCCCTCCTGGGGCATCTTTTTGGAGCACGTGCTGACTAGAGGGGACAAGAGGAGGAGCGGTGTTACATCTACTGCAAGGTCGACGGCGGATCCCAGCGGCATGGCGCCGCGGAGGTTCGGTGATGGGCGCGTATTGGAGATGGGTTCGCGCAGGAGGAGGAAGCTGTCTGGCGTCATGATGGCGTTGATGGCAGAGAGGCCTGGCAAAATCGGTGCATCAGTTCTGCTTTGAGGGTGGACATAGGAAAGATGGAGGTGACGGCCCTTGCAGCGTGTGGTGCTCACTGGGAATATGCCAGACCAGTGTGGGACCCAATCCAGGTAGTGGCTTGCATGGGACACCCGGCTTTAAATGTTATGCTTTGGTGCGATGTCTGTTTGGTATTAGGTCCATAACGTAGTGGTGCCATGGAGGTTTCAGCTGAAAACTGGCAAACAATCAGGTCCTTTAGTGACAAGTTTCATGCATCTTGGCAGTGTTTTTTCCTGCACCGCACATGGAGCAGCCAGTTGATTTGTTCTCTTGTCAGTCGTATTTTCTGCACCTTGCTCACTTGGAGAATGCAGAATATCACAGAGGGGGTCCGAGCGGTCAGCTCCCACAGGAAACATGGAATTGACAAGAGTACTCAACGATAAAGTATGAGTATCCTTAATGCTCTCTAGACTGCGAACTTGCGCACATTGCTTCAATTTTTTCCAGTCTGTCAAGTGTGCTTCTTCATTGCCGAGCAGCGTCCAGATCATGCACTCGTAGCTCTTTCGACCAAATATTATTGTATCATATTTGAGCTTCACCACTGAATTATTTGAACCCTTGTTATCCACTGTAGTTGTAGGAATGAATTCTCCAAATTCATCCAGAATCTGTAGCGCCTTTTGATGCCTTGTGGAGAGTTCTAATCCAGTAGTAAAAACCACGTTGTGGCAGTATACAAGATCAACAAGGGCCACACAGGAAAAACTGAATTGATATGTGTGCCACAACTCCCTTACTAGAGTAAGTGCCTCTCGATAGAACTCATAAATGATATTTCAATGGGCAAAATATTCAGCTTCTGCCATCAGGTGCAATATAGAGCATGAATAGGACTGACGACCCTGAAATCCAAATAAATCCAATGTCCTGCATGTGTACCAGTATCAACTGGCCTACAGTTTGTTCCAAGGAATCTTAAGCTGAACCATGCATCAGTACTTATACTTGCAGAGACACCCAATACCCAGCGTTGTACTGAATAAGTGCTCTTTGATTGGAGTACGGCATTCCCAAATATGCAAGGGGAGCCAACTGATTCAAATGGAGTAATATCGACCACTTTTGAGAATCTTGGTCCATTGGAATTTGTGCATAATATTCAGAATGAGTGCTCTTTGTATGCAAGGCACGGCAGATAGTATCAAGGCAATTATGTTCATGAGGCTCACCCTATATTGGTCTGACAAGAGGCCTTGAGGCGGAGACCATGACTTTCGCTTGTCAATTCTAATTGTGCATAGCCACTTAGTCGGTCCAGGAAAATGCAATTGGCGAACCTGATGTCGCTTGCATTGTGTCAACCCGTGATGAAGCCTCGTTGACCCATGGCTGGAGAAGACTGTACATGACACAGGAATAGCAGCAGCAAATGACACCAAATGGTCAGACCGAGTATACACATTGAGAAATTCCAACTCAGTCAATCCTTAATATCAGATGGCACCCGATCCGATGGACGCCCGGACTGCAATTGTGCACCTAAGAAACAACTAAAAGGATAGCTACTCGATAGCCTGCAACTGAATGGACGGAGAGTTTCTCCAAGGATGTCTGACTGAAACCTGCAGAAATATCCAACACCCAGCGCTGCACGGATGAGGTGAAGTGTTTCTCGGTGTTCTGTACTACTGCACGTTTGGTTGCACAATCCGGTCAATATGAAGACTTGTTTGATTGAGGGGATGCCATTTTTCTGATCAGGGACAGAACAAGCCCATAGCTGAACCCAATTTTACACTCAAGCTGCATCTCTGGAGCTGGAAAACAATGGATAGGCTCCTCCAGGGGAACATCTCTGAACATCAACCTAATTAACCAAGGACTGAAGCAGGGACCTCCATGTGATTGACGATGTATACCTGAACATGGCCTTTCCGGGTAGGTTGTGTTTGACAGAGGTGTGAACGACGGCCACGGACTTGGCCTGAAGAGATGTCCCGCGTGATTGATCTGCACTTGTACAGGCGGTGGCCATGGTCGATGTTCGAAGGAAGGCGGGTGCAGGTGTTCGGTGGTGGTGTCATATGTCTCGTCGACACTGTCGATGGTGACGATCGGAGGCTGCACCCAGACACTCGCGTGGGCAGAAGCTTCTGCCGAGCACTTGGTCGGAGCTGGTTTGGTTGCCATGGGGATGGTGTCGGTGGTGGTTGCCGTTGAGGAAATGACCTCGGCAGAGCAGGTGCTGATGTCGATGGAGAGCGTTGCCTGCACCGGTATGAGCTGCGATACCTCCGTGTAGCTGACGATGTCCGCGTGCTCCGGGTGGACGGTGGTGGCGGCGTCTTGGGCCTCATCGACGTTGGCGACGGCGTCGACCTGGGTCGAGCCAGTCGTCAAACAGGTCATGGGCATCGGGTTGATGGAGTCCAGGGACGCACCATGGGGGGTCGCGATGACCTCCTGGGCCTTAGTGGTGGAGGAGAAGGAGTCGCGGATGACCGTGGGGACTCTGGCGTCATCGGTGAGGCCGCCATCGGCTGCCGTGCCCATAGGACGCACCGGTTGTGGAGTCAAGACACCCGCGAGGACTTGGTTCGAGCCATCTGTCGAACAGATGACGGGCGCCCTCGCGATGCACGCAGGGGACGCGTCGGGGATGAGCTCGAGGACCTCCTGGGCGTTGCTGGTGGAAGAGGGGGCGGAGAAGACGTCAGGGACGACCGTGGGGACAGGGGTGTTGTGGGTAAGGCCGCCATCGGAGGCCACAACCGCGGAGGGCGCCGACTGCTGGGTCGAAGCTCCCGTGATGAGCTTGGCGAACAGCGCGTCGAACAGCCTGGCACTGGCGTCCTGGCGTGCCTGAGCCTTCGCCTCGAGCTCGTCAAGGTAAGCTTTCAACGATGCATGGTGGTGCAGAGAATGGTGTGAGGAAAAAAATTGGACAAAATTTGGACAAAAGGGAAGGGTGGAGGGAGGCTCTGATGCCACGACGTTAGGTTCCACTCAGAGATTACTCCATTACAGGGGAATCAAGGTCTGATACAAGGGAATTTGGGAGGGAGGAAGGAGGAAGTACAGGAGGTAGGGGAAGGAGGACCGTTTGCCTGATCCAAGCCCGGATATTTTGCTCGTTGCCCACTTCCGTGTATTTATTTGTAGCTCGTGGCGCTGGATGGCTCATGGATGGGCCATGTACAGATGGGCTCCTGACAGCAGCTGCAGATTGCAAGCAAGCCACACAGTCGTAGGCAACGTTTGCTCTCTCAGTTAGCTCCTAAATCTTCCTCAAAAAAAAAGTTAGCTCCTAAATATAATTCATAGTCACGATGACACATTTTCTGCTCACCTCTGCAAAGCAAAATTAGCATACGATGGGGCACACCAATCAGTTGGAAAATTCAAGATAGAAAAAACTGCCGCTAGACATGAAACTATACTCAGATGTACTAGTTGCTATTGATTAGCACTCCGCATCAAATACAGGCATCATAATGTTCAGAGCTCGTGCAAAATGCTAAAGACAACTTGAACCAAGTTCAATTATGCGATAACCCAAATACAGATACAGGGGACAAAACCCTGGTTCCTCTATCTTATGACAATCCGTAGTTCTGCTGTATTTTTCATCAATGATAGCAAAGTAAACTTCAGGCCTTTATATATATATGTATATAGCAAAACAAGCGAGTATGTAAAGGCAGAAGCTGGACCAAATGAGAGTTGTCCATTGGTGATATCTGTTCTCAAACCTTGGTGTATAGACTACAAAGAGCATCAGTCGCCAGCCAAGATCCAGGAATCCTTATGGGAATAGAGTAAACTCAACTGGAAATCAATGTCAATTAAGGAACACATTAACTTAGTTTTAGAGCAGCATAATCATTAGGTCAATGCGCCAGTTAAAATAACACATGGAACAGTATAAGCATTTGGTGTACCAATCACAAACAAGCAACGGTTCTCCCGAGCATGGAAATACTGGAATTAACCGAATGCAGTATGATGCCAGATACTCCCTTTGATCCAAATTAATTGTCCCAGCTTTAGTATAAGTTCTAGCTTTAACTCTCTTGCTCAACATTTCTCTGAATAGCTTTAACCTGCAAACAGTTGTCTCGTGTGGTACTCCCATATCAACCATCTCACTGAATTTGTCCATTGCATCATCCATTCCGCCCACTCTGCAAAACCCAGCTAGCACCTTTAAATGTGTGACTTCATTAGGGTCTTCAAAGAAAAGTATAGCCACATCCATCATTCCATACTTAGCATATGAAATAATCAGTATGGTGAAAAAATGGAGGACAGACCATTCAAAAGATGGAGGACAGGTAGAAAATCCGTCTTCTGAAATCAACTCATGAAGATCAGTCATATCAATAAGGGATCCATCTGTAGCGTGCCCATGAAGCATAACAGAGTATGTCAAAACAGTAGGTTTATGGCACTTCTCAGCCGTGGAGTAAAAAAATTCTGTAGCTTCTTTTGATTCATGCATTCTTGCAATGGTAGTCCATGACAGAGTTACAAGTAGAAATGTTTGGTATGAGACCTTGACTTATCATTTCTTTCAACAACCTATAACAACCTCTGCCAACTGACCCAAATGGGAATATCCATGAATCAGGCTAGTATAGGTCGTAGTATTCAGTCGAATACCAATATGAACCATTTGCCAAAGGACGACTTCTACTTTGTCCATTGCTCTTGTTTTGCATAGCTCATCAATACTGGAGCTATACAGCACTACACCAGGCACAACTCTGCGAATCTGCATCATACCAGCTGCAACTCTGCATCAAACTGTTCACAACTCATGTAAATTGCTAAGTAAAGATAACCTGAACCAAGGTGAAATATGAGGTTGCCCTATTTTCGACAGAACAGAGAAAAATAACATAGTTTTCAAGAATTATGCTCTACCTGATGGAAATCCATCCTCCTGCCCTTTTTTATCAAGTATATATAATAGGTGTTTTCTGAATATCAGTGAGTATCATAGAAAATTAAGGCCTTTATAGCACAACAAGGGAGGATGTAAGGGGCAAAAACTGGACAAAATGAGAGTTGTCCTTTGTTGATATCTATTTTCAAACCTGTGATCTCTAGAGAGCATCAATTGCCAGGCAACATACAGGAATCCTTATGGCAACAAACTCAACTCAATTGGGAATTAACCATTGACGTCAACAAAGGAACAGTGGAAACCTTTTGTCAAGCTAATATAGATCTGCCAGAACAAAATATTGGGTACAAATGTACACACCAAAAGATATTTTGTAATAATGAACAACTTTTTAGTGTACGTTGATGCCAACATGCAACCTTTACCTTAGAATAAACTGAAGCACCAATCAGAATTATCATTTAGCTAGTAATTAGAAGATCAGTTTAACCATCAAGCCAATGTGCCAATTAAATACTCCCTCCATTCCATAATTCTTGTCATGGTTTAAGTTCAAATTTGAACCAAAACCACGACAAGATATGGAAAGGAGGTAGTAACGCATAAGACAGTATAAACATTTTGCTGCAACAGTAATTGATGCCAGATACATAAGTTGCACCCTGGAAACTGCAATAATCCATCCAGTATGATGTCCTGCTCTTCTTTCTATCTTCCCGTCCAAGCAGCAATGTTGAATTGATGAATAGGCTAAAGCATGTTAGAAAAGCTGAATTAACACATCTCCTGTCACAGCGCAAAGCACGGCCTGACTGTTCCAAAACAAGATTCTAGGTAAAACATTAGTATCTATTTCAAAAGAGGTCGCACATTCCAAACACACACTACTACAGTCATCGAGCTTGGCTCGGATTAAAACGAATAAACAACAATCTGATGCGGCACAAATAGCAGAACAGAGCAGATATATAACCATGTGATTCACTTCTTTGTACACAATAGGAACTTAGCTTTCCATACCTCCTATGCATGTGCAGTATGAAGTTGGCCAATTTTAAATACCTGAGATCTGGACCAAACATTTTGGTGTTTCTCCTTGATTCCAAATACCTGAATGGTGTCATTTCACACACTTGTACTTGCAGCAATACCAGGTACATCTATTAGCACGGATACAAGAAGTTCACAATCACTTTGACTTAGCACAGATCCTTAATTAATTTACTAAATGCAGAGAAACTAAACATCGATGATGTTCTCGCCACCTTATGCGGCAGACACACCACCATTTTCAGATCAACTTCAGGTCAAATATAGATGACCATATTACAACCAAAAGACCCTACTACATACCACGAGTCTATTTTCAAGTTGCAACACAATATTAATCGGCACCATCCCCAACCCTTAACACATCAGCCTAACCTCCAGCATCCGCATCATCATCGTGACAGCCATCCATGTGCCCTTCAGCCTGCAGCGCCACCTCCTCAATACCTGCACAATATCTCAAATTATGCACAACGAAAATGTAGATATTCAGAAGCTCGTTACCTAAATAAGAACAAACAGCGGGCCTTTATATTGGGCAACACTCGGCAAATTGCTTAGAAGAAGCAAGCAGAATAGCTGTGATAAAATACAATGGCTTAAAACAACGACACACACGATACATGGAAAATCAACCTTCAGGACTACTTTTGGACCATGGTCCAGTTAGTTATATTGACCTCGTAGGCTCATACACTCACTTTTGCTTGTTTACAATCATAATTTGCAGCGCAAGAGTAAATACATAGCAACACAAAAGCCCGCAATCATTTAGAAATGAACCATAGAAGAACTTAAAAATCATAGCAGAAATGGATGTTGAGGACTTAACACATTACCTAGTAATTTACTAACCTTCCAAATCAAGTCAAGGAAAAAAACTCAGAGGTCTTAATTAGTAGCCACAATCAATAAACTACTTGCATTTGGCATGCACCTTGAAGGATAGCTGAGAAGTTCAAAACGTTAAACAATGATAAAACATGGTTTCCCTGCCTCTAATTTATCTCAAGAAGCTTATTTCAAAGCAAACAGTTTCTTAGCAAAGGCTATTTTCTCTAGTTAAGTAGCAAAACAATTGAGCAATTTTTGGGTGGGATAGTACTCCCTTGAGACATTAGCTCACCCATTCAGCTATCCTCACAATATACACAGGAGATGCATTAGTGGTAGCAATTGCTCAGGTTTTTATTTGCAAGTTGCAACCATACCAGCTATGTGTCCTTGTATCTTATCTGAAGTCAACGTCCTGAGATAAATTCATCGGTGCAAAGATGAAAAAAAAAACTTCCTTTTTTCTCATTATATCTATGAAAAGAGACAAACCAACTCCTGCTGCCTGGAAAGAAAGTTTCCAAGGTGAAAAGAAGTTTAGACTTGTATTCCTTCTTGGTTAACCTTGACCACAAAAATAATTCTTTAAAATAATCATTGTGATCTGGTGTTTTTTTTCATGAATTCGCGATGCCCCAAAATGGTATTCATAGTGTTAAAGATCCTCTCTTACTTGTCCTATTACCATCAAGTGGCATTTAGAACAGACTAACAAATAAATCACATACATGTTTGCAGCCTTGACCATCTTTGCCACAAGCACAGAAGTAACAACTACGGAACATGTCAATTACAATAACCAACAATCAAGCATCAGACACGCTGTGTGACGACAATGAAGGGCAGAAAATAGTTATTAAGCAACAGAAACTTTACCACTTCATACTGTCGGTGACGACAACGATGGTGGGTAGTTGCTATATGCGCAGCCATTCGATGTTAAAGCACACACCCTCTTGATCTGTATTGTTTCAATGTCCAACGTGCATAAGCTTAACTCAAGCAATGCACTTCCGAAGTGTTCTCGGCAGTGTTCCAGGAGCAAGTACTCCCCCACTGAACTTGTGAAGTAGTACCTCGGTGAGATTGTGAATATCTTCTCCTTCTGCCATTGGCTGGAGCTCCCACCATGTTTCCTCCAAATGGTATACTCGCGGCCAGATGTGGAACTCTGCCAGGTAAGCATTCTGGGCCTGCCTTCTCCTGACTCCACCATAGTTGCAATACTAACGTTTAGAGCTTTGGCTTCGGGCGGGGGTTCAGCAATGAAGAACTCCATCCTGCGGGGATCGAGCACCAACATGTTGGATTTGTATACCATTGGCAGCCAGTAAAAGCAGCCAAACACACGTTCTCGCTTTGTGAAGAGTGGCATGCTTTGTGATGGTAGCAAGCCAGGAAACAAATTGGTCCAACTCGGGGTTGGAATGGCTTGCCATTGTCTAGTGCTGGAAGAGAAGACAAAGGCCATGAGCCTAACTTTGCACTGCACCATACAGATCACTCTGAATGATCTCTCTTCATCAATTGCTGCCTCATCGCCACAGGGAACGAGGAAAGTTTCCCAGAAATTATCACCGAAATACTTCACCGAATGGCTTAGGTCGAAAGGGATTGGGGGAAGCAGGAGGTACTGCCGGTGCAACGGGTCACACACCACCATCTCTCTGTAGAAGCGCCCGCTAAAAAATTGAGTGTCGGTTCCGCCGAGGAGGACGCGGCCGTCAGAAATGTCCATGACAACCCAGCGGCGAGGGGGGTGCGGGGGCGGGGACGAAGGAGAAGGAGAAGTCGCCGGCGCGGGCGACCGCTCTGGCTGCCGGTACGGAGCGGTAAGGCCGCTCGGCGGGATGCAACTGCAAGCCTTCGTCTTCGTCGACGAAGCCGAGGAGGGGCGGGGCGTGGAGCTTGCGGTACTGCCGGAGGAAGGAGCGGTCGGCGATGAGGCGGCGGAATGTGACGCAGGCGGCGGAGGTGAGGACGAGGTCGGTTGGGTCGGGAATGCGGCGGAAGATGTCCAGCAGGAGCTCCTCTGGGATCGGCGGCGAGGGTATTTCCCCGGCACCATGCGGCCGCGGCAGCGGACGGGGAAGGGGATCGGGCTGGTACTCGTGGACGGCCGGATCCACGCGGATCTGTGGCTCGTCCGCCGCGCCGCCGGCCATCCTGCCGCCGCCGCCGCCGAGTGTGACTGTGTGAGGAGTCTGACTGTGGGAGCAGCTGCAATTCAGATCGGCCACAATCTGTTGGGTGACAATTATAGCGAACCCTTTTCTTGAGTATGAAAGTCTAAACTCAATCTCCTGCTCGTCGTGGATGCAAATCTTCTTTAATGTTTTGTGGTCTTTGGTGACAATTTGGTCACTTTTCTGTTTTCCGCTTGTGTTTAGCAAGCCGCAACATAATTAGTGTTGAGTTTACGAGAACCAATGAGATGCAATACACATTGACACATTGTATGAATCGTAGTCATAGGTATTGAAACATGCATTTCCTTCTTCGCATATTAATTGTCAATCAAATGGATGTATCTAACACTGGAATACATCTTGATACATCCATTTCAGCCACTGACAGCGTAGCTGTGGGTTCAAGTAGAGTAATTTATCTTAAATGTCCTAATTTTTGCATAAATATGAATAAAAGTAAGTGTGTAATCAAAAAAGATGTGGGGTCAGCTGACCCCACAGCTTAGACGTGGAATCACCACTGATTTCAGCATCAACTAATATGGGACGGAGGACGTACATGTTAAGTGATTTGAAGCATGAAACATGCTAACTAATCCCTGGATTTGGTTAAGCACACAGTCACATTGAGCGTGAGTCTCGATTTGGTTGTAATAGACATGACCTTCTCGCGGTCTCGGTCTTATCATCACCGCCAAAGATGCATAGACTGATTGAAAGTTCTCAAATAGAGTTGCCCCTTTGTCATGATATCAGCAAACCGCCTAGCTGTTGGATTTTACAGAACGCAAAGTTCAACATTCTCGTGGATGGAAGGCACATCGAGTTCAATGCGCTTTGTGTGGCCGCGGTGCACTAGATTGGAGGTGAGGACAAGGTCAGCTAGGTCGGGAATGTGACGGAAGATGTCCAGCAGGAGCTCCTCTGGGATCGACGGCGAGGAAATTTCCTAGACACCACACAGTTGCAGCAGCAGACGAGGAGGGAACTCAAGGTAGTACTCGAGGACGGCCGACTCCACATGGATCTTTTGGTCATCCGCCGCGCCGCCGGCCATCCTTCCACCGTCGATTTGGAATCAACGCATGGGGAGTGAGGGGGTGTGAGGATGCAAAAAGGGAAGCGTTGTTGCTGCAATTCAGACATTTCCAAGGACCTTCATGCGAATATACCAATGGAGAAACCGGTGCCCTAACAACACACAAAATGACAAGATTCTATCCCGTCCGTTGTGTACACATCAAGCCGCCGCAACCTGTTCGATAAAATTTTGTATACTCTTTTCTTGACTATAGGAAAGTGTTAACTCAATCTTCTGCTCATCATGGATGCAAGTGTTCTTTTATGTTTGTGATGATGTTTTGTGGTCTTTGGTGACAATTTTGATCATGTGCCTTTTCCACACTTGTGTTTAGCAGGCCACAGCGTAATTCGTGTAGAGTTTAGGAGAACCAGAGTTGCAACACACATTGTATGGATCATAACCATAGGTAATTTATAAACATGTACAGGTTAAGTGAACGATCATGGAAGTGTGCTAACTAATTCCTAGGTAATTGCACATAATCACATTGAGGCGCAAGTCTCCATTTGGTTGTAATAAACACATCCATCTTGCGGGCGCAGTCTTATTATCACCACCGAAGATGCATAGACTGGATTGGAAGTCCTCGAATAGTCGTCAGTAACCCCTCTGTCATGATGTCAGCAAACTGCCTAGTTGTTGGATTGTGCAGTGTAGAACACGAAGCTCACCTGTTCAACTTTCTCGTGGATGAAAGGCACATCGAGTTCAATGCACTTTGTGTGGCCGCGATGCATTGATTAGCGGTGAGGTAGACGGAAAAGTTGTCGCAGTAGCACATAATGTCCTTGTCATCCAGACAGTGTGACCCACTAAGGTGTGGGCGCAACCAGCACGGATCCGTAAAGGCATTGACGATAATGTGTATTTCGTCTTCGCAATGGAGCGCGATACGGTTGGCTGCTACTTGGACGACGAGGATACGAGTGAGTCACTGAGGAGCACACAATACCCACTAGTGGAGTGACATGTGCCTGAGCAATGAACCTAGTTGTAGTCTGAATAGGTGATGGTGTCGGAGCATAAAGAGTTGGACATGACCGTGGTTGGAGGGTTCCCTTGACACACCAAAGGATACACTCGACAAGGCTATAGTGCTCGTCTCTTTGCTTATTACTCATTGATGGCCTCAATAGAGTCGGGCACTACTCCAAACCCTAGTCAAGTCTGCGCCTTTTGATGCAGTGGGGTTGGCTAGCTCCCGTGTTCAACCGCCGTTAAGGGGTGTGGATTTGCACTAGACGGGCTAGACGATGCTGACATGGTTGCTTACATTTTTGTCACAAGTTCTTCAATGTTGTAATCGGCAGCTGAATTTAATTTAAATTTTAAAATCAGTACATTTTCAATAAATAAGACTGAAATCCTCGTGGTCACTTTGGACATCTCTGTGGAGACCGAGCACGCTCTGATAAGACGCGCGTGAAGAATAGTAGACATGTTGAAAAGTCAACGTCTAGGAGAAGACCAAGCGGCTCGAAGACCCTAGAAAATGATGACCAGGATCTCCAGCCCGACAATGTACAGAAGAAGAGTTATAATGAAAGGGAGGGATTCCTGCAGCTATGGTGCAAGGATTGAAGAACCCATCCTTGTCTCTTGAGTTATCTCCCTAAGTAAATTTTATCTTGTCCTTAAAGATCGACAGCAGGATGAAATAGTTGTTATCGTCCCTTGAGTTACCTCCCTGAGTAAATTTCATCTTGTCCTTAAAGATCGACGGTAGGATGAAGTAGTTGTTACCATCCCTTGAGTTATCTCCCCAAGTAAATTTTACTAGCAGACGGAAGCGCGGTGGCACGCCGCGCCCATAGGAGAGCCCTTTGAATCTTTGGTGTTGATTTTGTTAAAGAAATAGAATATAAGACCTGTTTGAATCACTTGTCTTTTGAAATTCAGCATATTGTGTCTCTACTCCATCAGAGAAATCAGTGAATAAGAAATTTCACGATGATTATTTTCTGCAAGATAATGTCCCGTCAGTAGTCTTCCCGTCAAAAGGAGCAATCATGTTCTGTTTCCATCACTTACATTGAGACTGATTACATTCCCTTTGCTTGTAGAGTGAAACAATGGTAATATCTGCCACAAATCTCATATATGGCACATAGCAATGAAGAAAATTAACATCTGAAACATCTTATTAGAATATAAGATTATTTGGTAACATTAATGAAGAGGATTTCAATAAAGAAATAACCTAAGTAACTAATAACAGTGTAATGTAGTGGTACTCTCAACCATCCACATGAGAACAAAGACAAACGTTTCACATCAGATATCTGGGTATCTTGAAGGATAGAAACTTAAGTAGCTGATAATAGTGTAACGCAGTGCACTCTTAACTGTCCACGTGAGAACAAAGACAAAAGTTTCACATCAGATCTTTCGGGATCTTGAAGGATACAAAGAGCAAAATCTACATTTCTTGCAAAGTAGTAATTGTATATATATATATATATAGATTATGGCATGATTAAAATTGCACGAAAGCAGTTTGTAGAAGATATGGAATTTGCGAAGAAAAAAAGATCATAACTTTTTAAGCACAGATAAAAACTAACTTCCTAGTTTGAGCATTTTCATAACGCCCACGGTACTCTGCTTTTGCTTGGGGCCAGTTGAAGTTACTAAATTTATAGTCCTAATCTTAGTGGCATAAGTACTAACTTGGCCTATGTTGGCATCAACTTCATGATCTCCTACTTAGATTTGTTTGCCATGTGCATTGCATCCCTATCAATGAGCATATGTACGTATCATTTTCTACTGGTTCTTCTGTTTGCTTGCACATCTTAAGGCCGGTAGTTCCATTGTCAGAAACTGGTCGGAACATAAGGAAAAATTAGCATTATCTCGACTACATAACTTCATTTTTTTAGTATTACTTATATTTATAGGAGCATGTAGTTGTGTTTATTGAAGAGAATGAAGTGGTTGTGGTTGAATTAGTATAGATTCTTGGAGTATCTCATGACTTCGTTGTAGAGGTTGTGGCCCATGGACATCCTGGGTGGCCGGAGTTGGCCTTCTCGGCAATATCCATGGACAGGAGCCGGATTGTGCTGGCCGACTTGTGGAGTAGTCCGCCCACAATGGTCTGCCCGGCGACCATCCCACCTCTGGTAGCGTGCCATCGAAACAACCCCACAGAGCTGGCGACCGCTTTCCTGCGCAATGGCCGAGCTCGGCCAACTCTGACCCATAGAAAGATAGTGCGAACTCAAGGCGGCGGCCTCCTACGCAATGTTGGAGGGTGGATAAGATGAAATTGTGTTGCAACCATCATGGCATGAGACGATAGAGAAGGAGGGTCAGAGAGAGAGATGGGAGAGAAGAAGGTCCTGGTTATTTCTCGAAGCGCCGCTTAAGCCCCTCGGCGGATTAGTTTCACACCACCACGTAAATCATCGCTGAAACAAATATACGTGGCAGTAACCACGACACCCACAATCCTATTGATGACAAACGTGACCTGCAATGAGGCGTGGCCACACGACGATGTAAAACAGTACACACAGAAAGCGGACCGGCCAAGCCGACCTCTAACAAGAAACCCTCAAACCGAGAATGAACCAGCCAAAAACCCGAAGAAACGGGTCAAACAAGAAAGCATAAACGGGCAGCACTTCAAACGCACCAGGTGAAGGCCGGTTTATAGATTTATATGGTAAGTATAGAAAGAAGAGGATCTTTCATCTTGAACAAGATGAGGGAACGATTATTGGTCAGGAAAACTTAAAGCTTTATATTACTGAGTATTACAAGCAGCTGTTTGGGCCTCCAGAGGATAAC